CCCGAGTTGAAACATTCCATGCTTAATTTAGTCTAAAATTGATAATTTCATCTGTTTTATTCTGGAATTAGCCCCCCCTTTCCATTAATTAACTACTTATTTTCCCGGAAAGCTGAAATTTATCCGATTTTGTTTGTCTAAAACTTTTTAAGAAATAATTAGAACCTACCAAAACATTTCAGATATTTAATTATTCTGAGTTCCTTATAGATAAATTTGAATTGAAAAAATATACTTCAAACATACTTCCGATTAAAAATTTTTGGTACTTTCGATTGCTAAAGTGACCTGACCTGCAAATGACCAAAGGCGAAAAACACGTTTAAGGTTATATATATTCTCATTGAAAGTAAACAACTTTTGTCTATAATTTTTTTCAAAATATTAAGATCTAAACAGGATATTTTATTGTTTCGAGATTATTGATACATATACTCATCTGCATACAATTTAATGTATAATTTTAAAGTCAGTTATAACAAGCGTATCCATATTTGTATTGTTGTACTCAGAGATGTGATTTATTTGAAATACTTGCATTTAAAATGCAAATACAAAGTAAAAAATACTTATTTTTATCTTGCATTTAAATACTCTTTTGAGAAGAGCATTTTGTATTTTAATTTAAAATACATTTCCAAATGTACATTCTTTTTGTAAAATCTAAAATACATTTTTGCCGTTAAAAGTTTTGCTAGTATCACCGATCAAACATTATATAAAATGATGAATGAATGTTGCTCATATTGGCCTTTGAAGGTACTATAAGCTTAAAAAGGGGACAAAGAGACAATTCATGAACTCCTTCTAACTGAAGAGAACTCAAAAATATACAAATTCTTTGGAAATAGATAATTTAAAGTATTGGATGGATATTGTTAAATGTCATGGTCCATGGAACTATGAAGTTCCAAATTGATATTAGCACCTACCAAATCACCACTTATCCTACCATTAGCAAGAATACTACGAAATTCTATGAATTACGACAAAACAGCTCGCTAAATAATATCAAATTGATATACGTCAGCTGTGTAAAACTGAAAACTACAAGATATTGCGCTGTGCTAACAAATTGCTATAATCCAAAATTCTTAGAAAACGATTTGAAGAACTTCACTTATTAGATGAACCCAAAGCTAAAGAAACTATGGATTCCATTTCATTCTCTTATTACAATGTGTAAACGATCGGAAAAAAAATGCGAATGTAAATATTTTGATACAAAATGATAGCTGTTGATTTTACATTAATAAAATTATTTGCAACTCTATTTTGGCTTTGACTTTTCACGCTAAATAAACTATTTTGGCATTGTTTTCCAATTAATACGGGTGAAAAATATAAACAAGAAATATAGAAGAATTATTTGTAGCTAAACTGAAGAAAAGATAACATAAAGATAGGAAAACTGTACCTCAATCACTTCAAACAGAGAAATATGAATCATACTCAATCTTTCCAGCTGGTGATATAGAGGAAACACCACTATTAGCCTAGAAAAACTCCAATATTTAAAAAATGAGAAAATCCCTGTAAGGTTTTCTTAAAAAATATTTTATACTTTAGTAAATGTAGAAAATTAATTAGGTACTACAAAAAAGTATTTATTTGAAAAAAGAATTTTGAAAAAATTTATTTTGTATTTTACGTTTGAAATAACAAATTAAACATCTGGTTGTACTATATGCCTATGCAGCTTTTTTTTTTAATATCGGGCGTAAAACGAGAGCTTTTTAGGTCAAATTTAGACTGCATTGAGGAGACGGCGGATTATTTTTTCAATGGATTTCTGTTCCGTTTTTTGATGTTGTCAACTAAACCCTTATTACTTGGCTTGATATTTCTTTTCTTGAGGTTTTTAATGTCATTGATTGTGTCAGTTCAAACATGCGACCTTTAATATTCTTATCTGTTCTTTGGCGTCCTACCGTTTAGATTCAATTAATTACATCAAAGGAGTATGTTTTGATCGATTTGGTAGGTATCATTTTATGTGGGATATGACTAGAAACCAATGCGTTATTTGAGTACCTACTTAAAAGTAATTTCAAACAAAATTATAAATGCGAAATATAAAATCGGAGTAAGGTTTACGTCATAAATACGTCGATTTTTATATTAATTTTTTGTTTTATATTGGGTGTTTTATTTTTTTGCTTTTGGACGGAAAAATTTTGAAATAAACATGTAAGTTTTGTTTAAAACAGTTTTTTTCTGACAATGTTGACGACTTTCTAATATGACAAATAGTAAATTAGAAACAGAATTAACGAATACAAAAACATTTTATTTATCATGCCTTTTGTTTGTCTTTCTGATTCTCAAAAACTATGTATTCAAAATCACATTTTGAATTTAATCTATCGTTCGTACTAATACAAACAATCACATGACAAAACGATGTCTGCAAGTACCTACACGATAATTTGCAGTTTTGCGTCAGTAGCTGTTGATTATCAGTAAAAAAATAGATGTAAAAAAAAGACAACTCCTATGAGCATTGTTTACTTCTTGCTGCATGTGTGAAAAGGCCCCCTCACAAAAAGGACGCTACTACTAGCGACTGTACATGACGGTCGCGCGGCACTCTCACTCGTCTGAAAGCATTCTTACAAAACTACAAGAGCTAACATTGTGGCGCAACCAAGTACTCCATCTGTTTTTGCCCTTAGTCCAAGGTTCCAGGGGTACAGTACGGTTGTAAAAGCTAAACTCGTAACAACAGTAGAAATATCGACATGTTATTTTGAATTACATACGTAAATGTAATTCTGTAAACGATTTTTTGTGATACCTTTGACCCTAAAGTATAAAAAATCGTCTTCTCCTGGGAGTTTACCACCCTTGTTTTCAGCTTGGGTTGGAATGCGGTACTTTTTTCTCTTCGTGTGTAATATACTATTTTTTTTGAACTAACCATTATCCATAATGAAAATATATTTATAATTTTTTGAAAGGACTTATTCCGTTTGTATGAGTTTAGAAATAACAAATTGTTATTATCCATACAGTACTTTCTTTAATATGACCTATTTTAATACAATACGTAAGTACCTAATACATATCGGGAATTTTTCAATAAGTCATAAACTGCTTTTAATGACCCTACGTAGATATTAGGCAATAGTTTTCATAAATATCTAGGAATTAAAATTTTATCTTTATTTATGTATTTCTAAAAAGACTTATTTGCAAAAATATTTTATAATTTTTATAACTATTTGTATTTGTAAAAGAACTAGAATTACCTCTTGTAAATATCATTTCTGACTTTGTACAGTAAAAGTAATTTAATTTGCTGTTTATAAGTATTGGAAATAATTATTATAATTATTGAATACTTTGCAACGAATAAAATTATCAAATTATCGAGCTAATTAATAAGAGACCATAATAAAGTAACTATATTTTTTTACTTAACATGTCCACTTATAATTTTGTAATAAATCTGTTGTTCGATTTCGTGATTTTTAATTTGCATGTGTATTTATAATTTAATTGACCTGGCTTGGAGCAGCAGTAGTTATTTTTAGTCGACTTGTGTTAGACTGAGCAGCAAGAAGTGTTCTTTTAGGTTCAGACTGTTTGCTTTTACACGAAGTAAACGAATAAGTACATTTTCTATTTAATTTCTTCGATAAGTTTCGATAACTTTGCAAAGGAAGTGTGGAAAGGTAGGTACATGGCGACATTAAACTTCCACAGTCGCTATGCGTTTTAAGGATTTGAGATTATAAAACATTTTTGGAATAAACTGACAGTTGGTCTACACGTTTTGTTATAAAAATGCAATTTATTAATGAAAACTAATCGATAATTAATGATTTATAACTTAATAGCTACATGTTGAGTAAAAAAACCTCGATTCCTTATCACAGTTCCCTTTATACATATTTTCAGAGGTTCGTTAATGTGTTTGCACATGCTAGAGTTTTTGGTTGAAGTGCAGATGTTTTGTTTCTTTTTGTTTAACCAAGAAATTGTTTTGAGCATTTCCGTTTAACTAATCTATCTAGTCATTTAATCGATCAGGTTGGCATTACATCTGCCAGACAATATTTTTGAGAGTTCGACTTGTCAACAACGTATCACTTATTTAAATATTTAGTGTATCGCGTGGATTAACATTAAAAGGTCAATTAACTTTTTTGAAGTTATACTAATTACGACAAAACAGCTCGCTAAATAATATCAAATTGATATACGTCAGCTGTGTAAAACTGAAAACTACAAGATATTGTGCTGTGCTAACAAATTGCTATAATCCAAAATTCTTAGAAAACGATTTGAAGAACTTCACTTATTAGATGAACCCAAAGCTAAAGAAACTATGGATTCCATTTCATTCTCTTATTACAATGTGTAAACGATCGGAAAAAAAATGCGAATGTAAATATTTTGATACAAAATGATAGCTGTTGATTTTACATTAATAAAATTATTTGCAACTCTATTTTGGCTTTGACTTTTCACGCTAAATAAACTATTTTGGCATTGTTTTCCAATTAATACGGGTGAAAAATATAAACAAGAAATATAGAAGAATTATTTGTAGCTAAACTGAAGAAAAGATAACATAAAGATAGGAAAACTGTACCTCAATCACTTCAAACAGAGAAATATGAATCATACTCAATCTTTCCAGNAATATTTATTATTGGTTATTTAATATTTACAAAATAAAGAAATAAATTTAATAGAACATTTAATAAAAAGTTCGTGACAAAAATTTAATAGATTATTTAAATATAATGTAAGACATCCGTTATTTGTTTTATTGTTTTTTATTACATACGTCTTTTCTTTATCATTGTGTGACAGAAGATTTTGACATGTTGTGTATTTTTCTATTTTTAATGATGCCAAAGAAGTATAACTTCTCACGCGCGTACATAAGTACACGCACCCACTTTTTTTTTTTATATAAAACATAAACAAATTAAAGCTTGTAAGCGATCAAATTTTATCGATAAATTAGTGTAAATGTACATACTTACTGATGACATGAATCATTAACGATCCGAAGACCACGACCCATCCCCATCCACCATCTGGTGGGGGAGGCACGTCTAGGTCTTCATCATCCTCGTTCCTGTTTTTTGTCACGCCAATGACCATTTTATTTTCTAACGTGGAAGAAAGTAGTGTTGTCACAAAAAAACACGTGCGCACAAGTGTCGGTAACTGTAAACGCGCGTTCGATTAATAATAAATGATAAACGTGAACATGCTGTTGTTGTCGCGAGTGGCCTTGCAACTGGCGAACCATAGTGAAGGCAAAACGTAGAAAATCGTGGCAACCACTGCCCCTTCTCCCAACTCGAAGATAACTGAAACAAATAATTTGATAAAGGAACTTTGGTTGCGTCTGACAGCACTTTTTTCTTTTGATAACGACGACAACGTACTCATTTCATTTATTTGCGCATATCTATCTAAAACTTTAAATATTTAAAAAATCAAAATCCGAAATAACTCATCTTGACGAGACACATGTGCCTATTTCTGGAACAGTCTCCTTTCACGCTACGCAAAATGCATAATGTAGGTACTATATTTTTGGAATACTATTCGAGGTCGTTTCTTTGTTTTTTATTCGTAGAGGTAACTGACTGGACTAGCACGTTACCAATTTAACTTTCCTTTGTTGAAATCAAATAAATTTACGCATGTTGATTTTCTTTCTTTCTATTTTATTCGAGAAGTTAATTGTAATCACTATTTCTACCACTTCTTTGTAGCTGTGAAATTTTGCATACGTGTAAAAATCAGCTCAGGATGCAACAATGGTAATTTATTATCATAATTTCAGTGTATGGAGACCCCTGAAGATTACGAATCAATTGTCTAAATCGTATGAATAAATAACATAAAAGACTTCATTTTAAATTTCAATTTAGCAAATGATTTAATATGATGAATTACCTATTTCGTGTTTCACAACCCCTTTGGTATGTGTATCAAGTATTTAGGCAGTAAAATACGATAAGCTAATAGATAGTGTCGTCGTCAACATGATGGATGCTTCCACAATACACAAAGTCTTAATACAAAACGTACCTACAGGTACAATTTTTATCTCAAAACTAAAAAGAATCAAATAAAATAGTGTTTACCTGCTAAATAGAGGAAAAAACAATAAATTGTATGAAATCTCTCCAGCACCGCTTGTACACAGTGTCACCGTCAGGCCACATAACAAATAGGTACATTTTGGATGTTCAAAATTGGCATAGTCCACAATAAAACTGTCACATTTACTTTCTTCTTTCAACTTACTAATTAGACTAGAGCAGTTGCTGACAGACGCCTCCTTTTAGTCACTACAGACATTGTAGAGAATATCGTAAGCAAAGAAAAGAGATGTCGAGTAGGAATTGCAGCGGACACTAATAATGAAAACGGAAGGAAAGAGATGCAGACAAGCAGAATTTCAGCATGTTGCCAGTATCGGACTTTAAAGAAAGTTCGACATTCTCAGGAAGCAAAGACAGTAGTTTAAAGATATAATTTCATCCAGGCAGTTATAAAGCCGATCCTGATCTTTTGCGTGCCTAACCAACTTCTAATCGCTGCACCTCATACTATTATTCTTTCTCTTTTGTTTGTTTGTCTGTACTACTGATGAAGCATTTCTTAACTTAACAAGGGCGTGTTGAAAACGCAGCAAATGACTACAGTCTCAAGTGGAAACAAGTAAGAAGATATGTACAGTCTCTCATAAAAAAAATTTTTTGTGTGTTTCATACCAGCCAGTAATGCTAGTGGGCGGGCAGTCCCTTTGAACCATCCGCCCTACCGGAAGGTAGGGCGGATGGCCCTCTTCAGCCTGCTTTCAGGAATCGTGGGAATGGGTGGGTGGTGGTTCGGGTGAGAAAGTTGAGACAGACGAAATGAAGACAGAACAGAATGAAAAATTATCTGTGGAATATTACTGCCCCAGCATTTGCCTAAGTGATCCAAGGAAACTACAGAAAAACTTGGACCAAGGCAGTCGGACCCGGAATCGAACGGGCGTCCTCCCAAATGCTAAGCAATCGTCTAAACCTCTAGGCCATGCCACTTGGTATTCTATTAGATATAATTTATTGCGGACTTTGCCAATTTTGATCGTCTCAATTATATCTAAACACTTCGGTAAAGCTATTGAACCGTCCTCGTATATAGCAGTTCAGCGCATATAAAGCTAATTTATGATGGGCTGCAAAAAATATCGGTATTTTAGGCAGATTAAAGAAGTGATTCTACTGTATACATCTTTATGCTATGGTTCAGTCATCTTTTAGGAATCGTGGGGATGGATGAGCGGTGATGGGAGTGAGAAAGATGAGACGGACGAAATAAGGACAAAAGAGAGTAAAAGATTATATTTGTGGATTTTTTCTGCCGCAGTATTTGCTTAAGTGATTCAGGGAAACAACAGAATAACTTGGAGCAGACGGATCTGGAATCGAACCGGTGTCCTCCCAACTGCTAAGCAATGGTCTAAACTCTAAACTCCTGGGACATGGACAAATGATCCGTGAGATATGAGCTAAATTTCGAAACGACTGATCGTCGTTCGATGGTTCGTTAATTAAACGTTACCTATAATTAAAACCTCAACTTCATATTTACAACACTATTAAAATTAGCAACTTTTTACATTTCTAAGTTTCCTAAATTAATTTCTTAATATTTCTTGTGAGACCAGGAAAACATTAAATAGTTATCAACTAGTAAAAGGAATCTACTTACTAAAATTCATTAACCGTAAGGTATTTTTTATTTTACATTATAATATGATACTGCCATTAAAAAAATTTCTTTTCCTTCTAATTAAAACAGTGTAATAATGCACTGAGTTTCCTTATGATAATAAAGTGTCTAATATATGGGTTAGGCATATGTATTTGTATGTAGACATGCAGGAAATTATGTAATGCATTATTAATAATAACTTTTGAAAATATGTCTGGAATTTGTAGTACCTGCTGATAACGTGCCCATTAAAAATTAGCAATGCGCGTTTCACCTTGCTCACTCGCTCAGCAACGATGAAACTTGACAATGTAGAAGTTTTATTATCAGGGATTTACAGTTTTACTTTAACAGAAGCAGACATGTGACAAAAAAACTTACTATGCACAATGATTTGCATAATAAGTAGCAAGTCTCTACAGATGGCATTCACTACGCTGTTTGTACTATTCAAAAAACTTGGTGATATTGGTGTCTAAACAAAATTTAAAAATAATAATCAGACATAATAGAGAGCAGTGAAAGAAAAAAGAAAAATATATCGCAAAACTATCTGATATTTCTTCTAATGCACTATTGACCATTTTCTTTTTCTTAATACACAAGCTATAAAATATTCCTAATCTAAATTTTCTAGAAGCCTTTTTGATTTTCTCTATCTATAGGTGACGTTATTGGGGAAGTTGTCTATTTAATTATTAACGTGATTAAATGTCCATTTTTAAGCAGGACGTTCCTTTTTTAGGTACCCCGTCCTGGTGTCCCTGAGGAAAGCTTCGATACGCAGTTTCAGTTAAAGATCAACATTAGACGATTTTTAATTGAATTTATAAAAACTTAAAATGCCTAATGGAGAGACTTTAGTCTTTTCTAAATATATCCCAAAATGCAGAACATTATCCAAACATTTTGATTAAAAAAGAATACGTTGGTTGTAATATACAATATTAAATTTGCACCAATTTCTAACTACATCACATCTTAAAAAAATTGGAAATAAATAAATATAAACATAATTAAATTTCCTTATTGATTGGTTCATATATAGCAAGATTCGTTTTACTTGATTGTTATTACTATTGTTTGGTTTTTAATGTCATTGATTGTGTCAGTTCAAACATGCGACCTTTAATATTCTTATCTGTTCTTTGGCGTCCTACCGTTTAGATTCAAAAGATCAAGATTGTCCCAGTCTTATTGCAGTATTGATTTTGATCTTGCTTATTCGGTCTTGATCTTGGTCTCGGTAATATAGAGTCCCGGACCAGGTCTTGATCTTGCGTGTTAAGTTTTCGTCTTGCTCATTTAATCTGATACTTAATGTTTTTTTTANTATACAATATTAAATTTGCACCAATTTCTAACTACATCACATCTTAAAAAAATTGGAAATAAATAAATATAAACATAATTAAATTTCCTTATTGATTGGTTCATATATAGCAAGATTCGTTTTACTTGATTGTTATTACTATTGTTTTTGTGGGAGCGTGCCTAAGCTTTCTAAAAAAAAAAAAAAACAATTTTTCTTCGGTAAGATTTTAATAAAAACGTAGATGATTCGATGAAAGTAGGCACTAATTTCTTATGTACACACATCAATATTCTTAAAATACATGTGCAAAAATTACCTACCCCTATATTCAGATATAATTTTTGGGAACGTTTTTGGAAGATGGAATCAGTCATAATTGTTTTTTGAAAAGATTTTTACCTTAGCTTCATTTTTTGTCTGTTATTAAAAAATTATATCTGCAATGTAAGTTAATGGCGAAGGCGTTTTTATCAATCTATTTCCATTAATTATGGTAATATTCGTGACTTTCTTCTTGTTTATTTACTTTTTAGAATATCTCATGGTTCATACATCTATATCTTGTACGCTGTATGTACATGGTATGCAATTTTCGCTCTTTGTATAGGATAGGACAACTCCATAAGAGTTAAAAATACAAAAAAATTAATGGCATTTTTCGATATTTTTTTGAAACAAATTTATTGGTGTGCCTAAAAAATTGTAGTCTTCTTTTAGAGTTAAAAGCAAAAACTTAAAATATGAGTTTTGGTTACATGTCATCTTGGTTGTTTGTAAAGTTAGAATAAAACCCTGTATTAGAATACAGTGGTGTCGGAAAAATTAAAAAGAAAATTCATGCACTTTCGAGTCATGACATGAAGGTGTGTTTCTTTAAATGGGAATCATACTTTAGTTAAAAAGATAATTCTTTCCTCTTTTCAAAAAAATTATAGTGAACAAAACACATGTATAACGTTATTGTGAAACATCCGACTGATATTACGTAAAAATATAAAATATAACACGTAATTCGCGGTTGTGAGCAGTTTACTTGTTTAGAACAATTTCCGTTAGGTACGTACCACTTGCGTGGTTAAACTGGTATACACAAGAGTTTTCTGGGTTAACCGCATTTTAATTAGACGGCGTTCTTTTGTTTTAATGTAATTTTGCGCAAACTTCATTAACTGCATCAATTGAATTACCCTTGTTTAATATAGGCTACTCTTTTGTCGGTTTAGTGTATTCAAGCGGTTGTACGGTAAAGTATACATGAATCATTCATCAAGTAACTAGTTGAGTCCGTCCACATTTACTTATGTGTTTTATAATTTCGGCGACATTTTCATAATGTATTTCATGTAATGTACAACTGACAACATACCCGGTATATAAATATTTAGGGTGGGGGTGTGGGGGATCGAAAGAGTAAGTCTCCCCCACCACTGTACTATAAAAAGTTCGTGGCGGTCTCACCCCCATAAAAATTTATGGGGGTTCAAAGTTAATAAATATGCCAATTTTTATACATTTCTAGGCATGTAAATATTTATATAGTCATTCTTAAACAATATTCAAAGGTAAAACTAATGAAAAATACATAAAAATATTGAGAAAGTTATATAAAACATTATTTAACTATCTTTATCAATAGGGTAGATTAGGTTAGGTTGGGTTAGGTTATCGGATTTTGTTCAAGTGACCACCCTCTTTCGATCCCCCACCTCCACCCACTTGAAAATAATTTTTTTATTGAATTTTATTTGAATTATAGTGTATGAAAATTGTCAAAATAATCAATTTTCAACCCCCATAACTTTTTATGGGGGTGAGATCTCCGGAAGCTTTTTATGGTGTTTTACTCAGGTGACCACCCTCTTTCGATCCCCCCTATCTTCTTTCGATCCCCCTACCCCCACCCCCATCTAACCCTCATAACTTTTTATGGTGGTGAGACCTTCACGAACTTTTTATGGTACAGTGGCGGGGGAGACCTCCTCTTTCGATCTCACCCACCCCCTTCGGGGGGTGGGAGCCATCATCTAAACATTTACCATATTTAGACCCCATTTTTTTCCATTGTTTTTTCTCAACTGTAGTATGCCAGAATTAGTGTTTTTTAATTAAAGATTCTGATTAAACAATAACATCCTGGATATCGAAAATAGATCGACGACACAATTCAATTTTTTAATTAAATGATTTAATAGTCAGCTCGCTCCCGAGTGAGAGGAAATTTCCACAATCGTTATGATTGAAAGACAATAACGGTTTCTTTAGTCTTAAACGGCTCAATAAATTCGGAAGAAATTTGATAAAATCATTAAACCGAAAGTTGTAATTTGAACAATATTATCTATATTGCATAGATAATTTAGTGTTTCAGGATGTATTTACTGATATGTTTTAGTCTTCAGTCTGTTGGCGAGACTGGAGCTAGATGAAGATCCAACTATGGTCTATTCGGAAGGCCAATTATAGTGGGAAGGACTTGAGTCTACTTGCGACTGACTTATAAGGAAAAAAAAACTTTTAGGTGTTTCATTCCCACCAGCCACTAATGCTGGTGGGCGGACAATCCGTCCGGACTACGTCGGAAGGTAGGGCGGAAGGCCCTCTTCAGCATCCTTTCAGGAATTGTGGGAATGGGTGAGTGGTGGTTCAAGTGAGAAAGAT